GTACTTAAAGGGGGCTTACAAAAAAGATGGCGGCAAACTTTTGAGCAGGGCCTGTTGCGACAGGACAAGGGGTAATGGTTTTAAACTAAAAGAGGGTAGATTCAGACTAGAAATAAAGAAGAAATTTTTTACGCTGAGGGTGGTGAAACACTGGAACAGGTTAGAGAGGTGGTGGATGCCCCATCCCTGGAAACATTCAAGGTCAGGTTGGCCTCTGAGCAACCTGATGTAGTTGAAGATGTCCCTGCCCGCGGCAGGGGGGTTGGACTAGATGACCTTTAGAGGTCCCTTCCAACCCAAACTATTCTATGATAATGGAGCTTTTAAAATACAGCATTTGTACAATGGAGAGTGCAGATTAGTATTTCACGAGTTCACAAAGACACAGGACACAATGCAGAGAAAAAGACTGCAGATAAATCAAAAGCAAGGCAACTCACCTAAAAAAAAAATTTCCTTTGTTTCACCTTATTAGCAACAGTAGATACTTGTTTAAAACTGAATTTCCCACTTCTCTATTTTGTGGGAATTACTGAACAGGCTCCTTAAAACATGCAGGTTAGGGGAAATTCATGTTCAGGACAAAGCATCTGTGGTTACAAATCACTCCAGACCAAAAAAAAAAATCAACCAGACAGGACTGTGATGTCCAACAAAAGGAGTATACTGAACAACAGCTCTGTCCAAAAGAACTTATACTCTAAAAACAAGGCATGCAGGGGGACAAAAGGAGTTGGTGTGCTGGCAAGGAAATAAAAGATGGGATAACAAATGTAGCTTGTACAGGATTTGCATGCCATCTACAGCTACCTGCCATAATTACCTCTCACTACCTACTTAGCAGATGGTGATTTTCTGTATGCATTATAGCAAAGGTGAGATTTGAAAAAGCTTGAATGTTCAGACAGTGCTTTCACAGGTTCTGTCAGTTTTTCCTTACGTGCAAAGAGCAGATTTGGGGAAAGCATGTGGGAAAAGTTCATAAGCAGAAAGCTGAAGTTGGCACTGTCAGTGGAAAAAAAGCAAAAACAAACCTGGAACAAGCAGCCATGGCAGGACTAAACTCAAAAAAATTTTGAAGACAAAATCAATGCACGTGTATATCTGATCTATGGACAGAGAAAGCGCCAAAGGAGGATGTTAAAGGAACAGACTGTAACATGACAGAGATGGCTGTAGCAGAGCCATTCTGAGCCATTTTAAGGGGATGGTTTCACTTCAAGAGAAGCAAAGAGGTGACACAGCCGTATCGCGCTGCAAGAGGGCCAGGATTAGACAATAGTTTTGCCAGTGCATAAAGTGAGAAAATGTGGAGGTAGCTAAGAGCACCAGAAGTAGAAACCTGTTTCCATTAGAATAACCTTAAAATCCTCAACTGACCTCTACAGGGCCAGGAACTCAGCCTACAGAGATATGCAGGAAGCAGCAAATTTAGACTTTATCTGGATCAAAGAAAAAGTCTAAATCAAAAAGAAGAGAACATAGATTTGAACAACAGTGGGTTGTTATTACCCCAAAAAAACTAGAGGTAACCTCAAGGGAAAATTCAGTTGTAGGCGGCTTTCCACATTACAATCACAAAAGCGTGATGAGTGACCTGCATTTTTTCCTTTTAAATATGTATTTGCAAGGTGAGCGGAGGGAATTCAGAAAGGCAATTCAGCCTGCACCCTTTAAGCTTCTGTACAGCAGCAGTGGGAAAAGCAGAATAAACATCCAGCAACCACCACCACACTCAGCACTGCTGTTCACAAATCAGAACACACACAGGGAGCGGCAAGGCCAATTAAATACAGTATTTAATCAACTACATTCAAGTAAAGCATTCTGGCCACAAGTAATAGAAGAATACTAAATAAAAGCTACTCAGGATCTTCCAAGATAAATAACTTCAGAAGTTGCAGAGAGATAGATTTCGTCACCCATTCTTTTCCCGACTTGCCCTCCCATGTACCACAGCCAGTAATTCATTACAAAATTTTGGCTTTTTTTGTGGATAAGCTGTAAGCTACCAGATACAGCAGCATTCAACATGACAACATTTGTGAGAATCTCTCTCTGCTATCTGTGGAGAAGACTATCGCATATGAAGAATCAACTTGGCATTTTCCCCAAGTTCTCAGAGAGATCAAATCAGCTCTCAAACTGTTTGGTAAACAGTTTTCTCAATCAACCATAACTTCCAGTTTCAGCTCACTCCACTTTACTACTTCTCCACACATGTTTTGTCCTTTGCCAGGATAAGTGTTTGGCTTCTCCGTTCATTTATTTTTATGTATTTTTTTATATAGTCATATGTATACATACATACACACATTTTTGCTTCCTCCCGCCGTCCCACCCTAGCTGACATGTTCCGCTCTTCTCGCTCCTTCTGTTTAATGCCACCATGTGAATGTTGCACACACAGTCTGGTTTGTCATTTACTGTCACCTTTTCACAATCAGGGAATCTATCTCCCACTATTTACAAGTAAGCCTTACAAAACCTCATTTAAAGTTGTTACCATTACAAATAGACTGGTAACAAATCCTGGTAACAACTACTTTGCAAAAAATATCCGTATTTGACTTTTTTTTTCTTTTTAAAGTCCTTCTTCCAGAAGTAGCTACAACATGACACTTCAATGACCCAAGACCTTGAAATAAGGTGTTTCCATGTGCAGGTAGAAGGATGTTTAAACTTGTTATGTTGTAGCTTAATGGTAGGACATCCGCTATTTTCAGCAAATAATCCCCAAGGTGAAAAACCCCATCCCATTTCACTACACCATCCAACAATACCTTTCCCCTTATGCTCTTGTTTTGGATTTATTCCAAAATTGGCTTATTTACGGATTGAGCTGCCAGTAATGGAATAGTTTGTAAGACTGCCATTTATGTATTTTTTTTTTTTCTAGTACACAGACCAAAAATCCCCATTAAAAGCACTGTATTATTTCTACCAGCAATTCTTAAAATTACAGATGTAAGGTAACGAAATGCTTAAATATTTTGATATTTTATTACATTTAATCTATATAAATAGCTTGTACTAGTGACAAGTTACAGTGACCCAGTATACCAGCTTCCTTCTATATTTTGAAAACTTATTTTCTACGTAAGAACTAGAAAGTTACACTGAGATATCTTCTGAGCACATATTATCTATAAAGGAGGAGGAGATTTTGTGCCTGAAAGTTTGTGCACTTTTTTTGCCAGCTGTATCAGCTGATACTCAAGACATTTATCCTTACCTACATATGCAAGCTCTGAGAAAGAACTGTTAAGCAGTTTCTCTAAGAAACTTAGCAAGAAATCAGGTTTCTTCAAAAAACCAAGTCAATGGAGCACTCAATCAGAGAGTCAAATGAATGCATAAGGGGTAGGAAAAGATAGTTCTATTTAAAAAAATGAGTAAAGAATAGAAATTCCTTAGTTGCAGGAGTCAGGTTAGGGTAAACAGAATCTAATTCCACCCAAGAGGTACATACATGCACAGAAGTTTTAACCCAGAATGACAGATCAAACAAGAGGTGAAAGTTTCCCCCTAAAATTTTGTTTACTTCATTTCCTCCTTTAAATATCTGTTCAACAATTAAAAAAATGGGTTAAAATGGATTTCATGCCTCTCAGTTCTTAAAGTTAGCAATGCCAGTGCTACCTGCCATCTTCCTGAATAAGCTGCTTCTCTCCCTATTTCTTCTCAAACTCATTTTCCTTCTATCCCTTCGTCCTCTTTCTTTCCTCTTTCTCTGTATCTTTTTGTTCACAGAGCAGCCTGTGCTGATGGTTAGGACACAAGCAGATGACAGCCTGTGTTCTCTTACCCAGCTCCTCCCCTAAAC